TCTGGGAAGTGGATTAGAAGAGGTTCAGAGTGAAAGATGTTGGCAGCAAGCCAGGCAGAGGTGGCTGATGCCAATCCGTGTGTGGAACTGTCGAGGTCGTCGTGTCTGCGGGACTGGGTTGGTTGGCTGTGGAGGGGAAGGTGACTCCCATGTGTCTGCTTGGGCTGGTTGGCTGGGATGTATCGCTCTTCACCCAAACAGTGATACAGGGGGATTAGGATATTTGAGAAGGATGAAGACAATGTCGCGTTGTACTTAGATGAGTTTGCAGTGACTGCCAGTGTCCTGACAGTGGTCTCCAAGGGGACCTTCTCGGACCCTTTCCCCTCAGAGCCGCACACTCTCGCCAAGCTGATTCTCATGCAGTCGGGCAGGCTCGGGGCCTTCCATGTCAGTGAGACATTCATCACCTTCCTGCTGTTTGCAGGCTCCTGGGTTCCCAGCCCCTTTGCCCAGCTGAAGTCTACTCAGTCCTCCGGGCTGGGCTTCAGTGTGTTTCCCCAGGAAAGCCCTCCCTGATCACTCTCGCCCCTCAGCTGGGTTAGATTTCTTCCCCAGCCTGTGTGTCCAGAGACCTCCATGCTTCATCACAGCATTTGCCAAGGTTGCAATTGTACTGATTTTTGTTTGTTTGTTTTAAAGATTTATTTATTTGAAAGGCAAAGTTATAGAGGCAGGGAGAGAGAGAGAGGTCGTGCATCCTCTGGTTCACTCCCCAAAAGGCTGCAACGGCCGGAGCTGAGCCAATCTGAGGTTCTTCCAGGTCTCCCATGTGGGTGCAGGGACCCAAGGACTTGGGCCATCTTCTACTGCTTTCCCAGGCCACAGCAGAGAGCTGGATCGGAAGAGGAGCAGCGGGATGCTGCTCCCATATGGGATGCGGGCACTGCAGGTGGTGGCTTCACTCAGTGTACCACAGCACTGGCCCCAGTTGCACTGTTTTCCTTGCTAACTCTCCATGAGAGGAAGAGACCTAGTCTGTTTTGTTCACCGTTGGTAGCACTTGGAATAGTATCAGAGGGGCCACCGCCTGCAGTGCCGGCATCCCATAGGGGTGCTGGTTCAAGACCCAGCTGCTCTGCTTCTGATCCAGCTCTCTGTTATGGCCTGAAAAAGCAATGGAAGGTGGCTCAAATCCTTGGGCCCCTGCACCAGGATGGGAGACCCAGAGGAAGCTCCTGGTTCTTGGCTTTGGATCAGCCCAGCTCTGGCCATTGTGACCCTTTGGGGAGTGAACCAGCAGATGTAAGATCTTTCTCTGCCTCTGCCTCTCTGTAATTCTACCTTCCAAATAAATAAATAAATCTTAAAAAAAAAATAAGAAATAGTGTCAGGCACATAGTAGGTGCTCACTAAATGTTTGTTGAATCACTGAATGGGCATTTACTACAGGGTACAGTCTGAGGAGATGGATTTTGAAATAGCTAGCATAGAACTATTAGCTGAAATATTTAGAAGGTAGTAGAGCTTTGTCTTTAAAAGTATGACAGTGGGGCTGGTGTTGTGGTGTAGCAGGTTAAGCCTCCACGTGCAATGCCAGCATTCTAGATGGGCACTGGTTTGAGACCCAGATGCTCTACTTTCAATCCAGCTTCCTGCTGATGAGCCTGGGATACAGTGAAAGATAGCCCACATCCTTGGGCCCCTGTATCCACGTGGGAGACCCGGAAGAAGCTCTGGGCTCCTGGCATCAGCCTGGCCCAGCCCTGGCTGTTGTAGCCATTTGGGGAGTGAACCAGCAGGTGGAAGATCTCTCTGTCTCTGTCTCTCTTCCTGTCTCTGTAACTCTACCTTTCAAATGAGTAAAAAATAAATCTTAAAAAAAAGTACATTTTATTAAGCTAGTATAACGAATGCATTATCTTTGTTTGATTTACTTAGATAGTGACATTTTGATCAGCTTGTGTAAAAAGAAATAAGCAGTGTAGTCTCAATTTTAATAGAAGAACCAAGACAGTTTCCACTTGAAATAAACAAGTATATAATGGAAGCAGTTACCCTTCTCCTTCTCAGTGTTACCTCTGTTTTACTCAAACACCCTTTCAGCTCCCATTGGAGCAGATCCAGTTGATTGTTAATATGTGAGTTCAAGTAGAAAGAAAGGATATATCACCTTTACTCCTGTCACTAATTCATGGTGAAAATGTTAATAGAGTTGCTACTTGCTCATGGAGTAAGACCATGGAAGGATTTATTTTTGCTTCTCTGTGCTTTTCAAATTTATTTATGGACTCCTAAATACACAAAAAGTGACAAACGAAAGGCTTCTGGAAGGTAGGAATTGACATTATATACTTTTTACTTTAAATACACAAAATACTAAATTGAGGTTTGTTTGTTTTTTACCGTCACAGGGAATTATGCTGGTCTATGACATCACAAATGAAAAATCTTTTGACAATATTAAAAACTGGATCAGAAACATTGAAGAGGTATGTCCAGAAGAGAATGGTGGTCCTGGAGGAGTAGGGCATGGGCGGGTCTAGTCCTCTCTCCCTGAGGGGTTCCGTAAAGGGCTGGACCCTGGGTGCTGCCATCTGACCGCTGTGGGCAGGGTAGACAGAGAAGCAACTTCAATTTCATTTTAATTCAGACCTGATCTTAGACATTATTTAACCCAAGCCCCCATTTTACATACTGTGAAGCTGAGACCTAAAAGCAATGACTTTCCTATGCTCATACAGCGTTTAAAAAGGAGAAACAGGAGGCAGGTGTTCGGCCTAAAGGTTAAGATGCCCTTGTCCTGTATCAGTGCCTGGATCCGATGTCTGGCCCTGGCTCCCAATTCCGGCTTCCTGCCTATGCAGACCCTGGGAGACAACAGTTAACGTTGGGTCCCTGCCACCCACCTGGGAGTTCTGGGTTGAGTTTTCTTTCAGCTGCTGGCACCAGCCCTGGCCATTGTGGGCATGTAGGGAATGAACCAGTGGTTGGGGTGGTATGTCTCTCTCTCTACCTCTTGAATTAAAAAAAAAAAAAAAGGAGGGAGAGAGCAAGAAAGCCTGAGAATGACCCGGGAGTGAAATAATGGATTCCCAAGCTCATTCTGTCCCTCTCTGGTGTTTGACTAGGAAACATAAATCTGTACTCCAGAAACTTTTTGCCCTGTTAACATTTTCTCTGTGTTAGATATTCAAAATTTGTTTTAATCCCACAAAAATTAGTATTAAGTTTTTTAAATGTCTCTGACTCTGAAATAGCTTTACATGAGCAGATATCAACCCACATGAATTTATTTTCTAAGTGCTTTAGAATCCAGAATAGTTTCTGCATTGGGTCACTCAGTACCAAGTTTTTTTCTATCCTTGACCCAAACAAATATTTGGAAGTTTTACTGTGAGATAACAGTGTTTTGGTTCTGTTTGTTCATACAAAAACAGACATAAGAATGACTGCAAGGCCTTGGGAAGGGGTGTGCACAGGCTCTGGCGGCTCCACAACTGTAGCTTTTCCCTCTTCCATCCTTAAACCTTTCTCAGGATCAGGACTTGTGTTTAGTGAAAGATTATCTGTTTTCTTCTTACGTTCATTCGTGTTTCTGACAAGCTGGGATTTGTCTGTTGGCTACTGTGATTTTTCTCAGGCTGATTTTATAGCATATTATTTTTCCCTGCAGCATGCCTCTTCAGATGTTGAAAGAATGATCTTGGGTAACAAATGTGATATGAATGACAAAAGACAAGTGTCAAAAGAAAGAGGGGAGAAGGTAAATTTGAACTGAATGGGTAAAAGTTGGAGTCTATTCGCATCTGTTTTCTTAGTATTATTTATTTATTGATTTACGTTTCTAAAATATCTATGTTTTAATCCTTTAACATTGGATATCAACAACAAAAGGTATATACTCCAAACTTGAATGGTGTGAATTAGTATTCAAGATCCAACACCATACTGTGTGGCCATGACTCACCCCTAAAGAATTTGCTAATGTTTTCTGGAAGATACAGATTGGTTCTTTTTAAGATTCCTGCAGCTTAGAGTTCAGGCTGTTTCTTCCCAGTGTTTGGAAAATGTCCAGTTTTGAGGTTAAAGCAATTCATTCTCTTTGAAAAAAGTAATAGGATATTGAAGTTTCAATGCTAATCATTTTCCAGTTCATTTTTTTTTCTAAGAATATTCTTCTACACTTTAGATTTAGGCCAATTTCAGATGAACTCTTTGTAATAGATTAATCTATAGATGTATCTATAGATGTCACTTATAGTTCACTTATAGGCATTTCTCTGTTTTGTCTCCTGTTAAGTAATAGAGCTTATATACATACTTCTGTGTCATTTTCTAAATTAAATTTAGAGGTTTTACTTTTTAAATCTTGGGGTTTGGCTTTCACTGTGTGTGTGTGTGTGTGTGTGTGTTTTTTAAGTGATACCTGCAAAATGCTTCTTTTAAAAACTCTAATTGCAAAAATTTTACCCCTAGAATCATTCACTCAATTTTAGTATTCTAAATGACCTAGGGAACTCTTTGAGAAGTAGATGAGTTCACAGTTTGTCTTAATCAATAGAAATCAAAGCAATGACTACTTCAGTATTTAAGCTTTTGTTCTGTTATGGACCAATTCATTAACATGTGATTAAAGTCAGTGCAGTAACTGTGGAGCATTGTACTCTTGGAGCAGATAAGTGGGATAAATGAATCCTAAAGTAATGGTAGGGGTGGGTGTCTACCTCATAGTTTTCTTGTACTAAAAGTACAATAGCAAAAAGAGAAGTACTTAAAATTGTGTTTTAAATGAAAGTTGTTCCATTTTTCTTGTGATGGTTAGGCTAAGTAATGAAATTCCAAATATACTAGAAGAAAGCAGAGGGATTCACGAACCACAGGAACTCTGCAATATATACCCTCCCTTTGATACTTCGAAAAAACCTAAAAAATAACAATAATGTTGTATACATTCAAGCAGCTTTTATTGATTGTAAACATTTCTGTTTGCCTTTCAGTTAGCAATTGACTATGGAATTAAATTCCTGGAGACAAGTGCGAAATCCAGCACAAATGTAGAAGAGGTAAGAAGGAGCCTGTGTTCCTGCAGCTCTCAAGGCCTTGGGATTTTTCCGGCCTAGTGAAAACCTTCTGCTGACCCACCTCTGATTCATGTGGTTATCAAAGTTCTGACTTCTGTGTTGAATTTTTCACACCCAGCCTCCACATGGGTTACTTAGATTGCTCAATTACAGTTCACTGAACGGAAGATGAAAGTTCCATTGAAATGCAGTTTTGCCCTTTGTTGGAGAAGCTGCAAATCCTGCAGCAGCAGGCCAGGCGGTATCTGCCACCTCGTCCTAACCTGCAGCAGAGCCTTTCAGTTCACCTCGAGTTTCGAGAGAGAGAGAGAGAGAAAGAGAGAGAGAGAGAGAGAGAATTAAATTGTTAGCTAATTGCACAGATGCTTTTAGTGTACACACTGCAAGTAGATTAAGCATGATAATGTGTTGGACCACAGTGACATTCACTAGAAATTGTTTATCAGAGGGCAACTTTAATAAATTTTCATTAAGTTAGCAGTTAAAGAAAACCAAATTATCTGAAGTCTTCTAAGAATGGGTTTTTTCCACCAGGGGCAAATTTTACAATATCTGCATTTTTAAAAAACATTTTAAAAATGATCATAAAAAGAACACACATAATATGTGTTGATACTGGTAATTCACTTAACACTGATGATGGTGTCATAAACATTTGATTTCTCAGGCCATTCCTGTTCGTCGTAACAGGATGGCTAAAAACTGAGACTTAAGTGATTTTATTGGCCAGTAGACACGGCTTAGAACTTTTGCTTGTTTAAATAACACTTTTTTTTCCTGGTTTGCTCATGGGTATTAGGAAACAGGAAGCATCTACTGACTGATTTACACAAGTGCAGATGAGCAGAAAAATGCTTCCTTCTGCTTACTGGACAGGATTTCCCTCCCTGAGGGGCCTCTTCAGTTAGCTTGAACGGTGGGGGGAAGCACAGCTCGCTACGGGAGGGCTGCTTCTGCAGTTACCGCTGGGCCCTGGGATAAAGGAGCAGGCCTAGCATGTGCACCCTGATCACAGCTGTGGCTTAGGGAGCATAAAGTTATGGAAGTGTAAACCCAGGAGCTGCCTGTGCTATGTATTCTAGCCAGCCATTATTAGGGATGGTAGGAATTTTCCTAGAGCTTGAAGTCAGTGTGGCTACCTCCTAAACACGGGGATGGGCTAACGTAGAAGCTTAGATGTGTAGGTGACCAGCGCGACAGTGGGGTTCTGACAGTGGGTGACGGCAGTGGTTATCCTCTTACTTCTATTTAATTGGATTGGAAATTGTCCTTTTCCTACACAGTTTTTGGGGGGCTCAGGATATTTGAAAACAGAGGCCAACATTAACAGTGGGTTAGTGTGGAGACAACTGACAGAGTTTTTTTCTTTTTTATAAATATTTATTATTATTATTATTTATTTGAAAGTCAGAGTTACAGAGAGAGAGAGGGGGATCTTCCAAGTGGTTCACTTCCCAGATGCCCATAACAGCCGGGGCTGGGCCAGGCTGAAGCCCAGATTCCGGAGCCTCTTCCAGGGTTGTGGGTGCAGGGGCCCAAGCATGTGGTCCAACTTCCACTGCTTTCCCAGGCACTTTAGCAGGGACCTGGATTGGAAGTGGAGCAGCCAGGTCTTGAACTGGCACTCATATAGAATGCTGGCATTGACTTTACTGGCTGTGCCACAACACCAGCCCCATGAGGCTCTGTGGTAACACAGTAAAGTGATAATAGATTTAAAGAATATTTGGTTGGGCCGGGAGAGACTGTGGATAACCAGATTTTTCCTGCTTCCATTTGAACTGATTTCCATGCTGGGGGATTCAGCTGAGCTGCAGAAGCTCGCTGTGTATACTCAGGTGTAAGAGTGAGGAAGTTTGAAGAGGAGGTCAGAAGTAAAAGGTAGAGATTGTTGGGTAGACGTTTTAGGGTAGCACATAACCATTCATTTCCTCTGCCCGGTTCTTTGTGTACTGAGGCAGCCTCAGATAACTCAGCACGTGTCATAATGGGATCGAGTGCCAGAGAGCCCATGAAGGAGATATCTGATGAATGAATGAATCGTGGGTTGATAACATTGGGAAATGTTTATGATGTCATTGAAAAAGAGCATATAGCATGCATGTGCATACCATAATTACAGTTACGTCCTTTTGTCAGTGAAAACCTTTGAAGTAGTGTGTTTATGATGAGATAATGAAAAATGTATTTTAAGATGTTACTAATGAAATGTGTAATAGTAGCATAAATATGTAATAATGAAATTTTTGTTTTACTTGTAGGCATTTTTTACACTAGCACGAGATATAATGACAAAACTCAACAGAAAAATGGTTAGTATCATGATTTTTATTTCCATTGCTCTGTTTTCTTTGGCATTTGATCGAAGGATAGGCCTGATTGTAATATTTCACATTAAACTCACTTTTTCCTTACTAACATATTCATCTGATCGAACTTCGATTCTTCTCTTTCTTCAGGATTCTGGTTTTTCAGCTGAAGCTGTTTTCAGTCTTTATCTTGCTCCCAAAGTGGCTTTTCATTGCCTTTAGATCAGAACAATGGAAATAGCAACGGCATATAAATTACATTCTTTTAAAGATTCATTCATTTATTTATTTGAAAGAGTTACACAGAGGAAGAGACAGAGATCTTCCATCTGCTAGTTCACTCCCCAAATGGCCACAACGGCTGGGGCTGGGCCAGGCCGAAGCCAGGAGGCAGGAGTGCAGGGGCTGAAGGGCTTGGGCCTTCTAACGCTGCTTTCCCAGGCCATTAGCAGGGAACTGGATCAGAAGTGGAGCAGTCAGGATTCGAACCAGCACACTTATGGGATGCTGGTGTCACAGGTAGTGGTTTTACCTGTTACGCCTCATCACTGGCCCTACAAATTACATTTTGGCCATAAAATTATCTAGTTTCATTTTCAGCAAACTTCAAAACAAACTTTGAAAATTGGTTTTCAGTCCTGAATATAATTGTATAATTCTCCTTACCCCTAAAAGGAGTACCCGTTTCAGTGTCTTAGCACTGTTTCCATCATTACCCTTGAAGCTTTACCCACCATTCATTGTAATTTCTTTTAACTGGAAATAGGAGCTTCCTGCCTAATACATTGTTAACATAGCCAGTGCTATCCGAAGAACAGTTTGCTCAGTGGAGCCCAACCAGTTCCCTTTCTAATAGAAGTATTTCGGTGAATATATCTGTTTCCATAGAATGCACGCTACCCATGGTATGGTTTGTCATTTTTATTTTGTAGGTAACCGTGAAACTTTTATTTCCCTGCTAATGGCATCTTCTCAATTTCAGAATGACAGCAATTCTTCAGGGGCAGGCGGACCAGTGAAAATCACAGAAAACCGGTCAAAGAAGACCAGTTTCTTCCGTTGCTCGCTGCTTTGATGAACTCTGTCTGAGAGACTGCAGCGTGCCCGGAGGGCCCCCTCCTGCTTCTCCGAAAGCACAGGTCACCCAGCCTCAGAATCACACCGCCCGGCTGCTGCTGAGAGCACTGCTGAACTCGGACCTCTGCCGCAGAAGGCCCAGTGGAGTCCAGCCTCCCGGCCTCACAAAAGAACAGGCTCGTTTTTTCTTTCAAACATGGAAGCAATGACTTGGAGACACAAGCAGGACCTAACTTGTTTTTCCTTTGTTTTCCTGCCTGTTGCAGAAGCTGCTATCTTTCTTTTTCACTTTGCACACAGTGTTACTCTCTCCCTTCTACAGCACAATCTCAGACTCATTTTTGCACACTTTTGTGTCCTTAAGTCGATGGATTTGTACATTTGGGGGTCGTTAAAAAAAAGACAGGACATTTAAAGCAGAGGCTAATGTACTAAAATTAAAGGACATGTGGTCTGGTTTCTAAGGCCAAATGTTACTGCATTGGTACCATTTTATTTAAGGGGTTTGATTTGTGATTTTATTAAGTAAAGATCATTAAGTCATGACAAAACCTATTTTAAAAATTCATAAAAATGCCCACGGTGTCTTCACCTCTTCAGATTATGTAGAGCTTTGCCTCATTCTTGACCTTTTTCCCAGAGTCCAGATAGCTCCAAGAATCACTCTTTAAATTGATTACCTCTGCCTAATCTGTGGAAACCACAGTGGGAAATCACTATATTCTCACTTTTCCTGGGGTTTGTATTTGCTCTTCTTTCCTATGTTTGACTTAACTGTGATTCCTCGGTGATCTGAAACTGAACATATTCTAACATTGCTGTATTTTTCCTTGTGAATTTCTTGAGCTGAAATTTGACAGAGAGACGCCCCATCTAGGATTTCACTTCAGCATCTCACTGCGATTGTGTCACATGAGGACTTGTAATATATTTTTTCTTAGCTTCATCCCTTAGCTTGATGATTGAGCTGAGATACCCAGTTCCCACCATAATCCCTATCCACGAGAGTTAGTGAAAGTTAGATTGAGATTTTAGTTTGCAGAAAGCTTGCCTACACAGAGATTAACTTGTTGATATAAATTTAACAGAGATAACTCTTGGTAATGGTGAAAATAATGATTTGGGATTCTTTTTTTTGGGCGGGGGGAAGGGTTGTTAATAAAAGTGAATAGATCTAGTGCAGCCTGTAGAAAAAGTCTTGCCTTTTCATTAGAGAAAATATGGTCAAGGTTTCAGTTTTAAAACAGTTGTTTTCAAATGTTTGAATGCAGTTCCATCTGTTTAGGCTGATTGTTATAGAACTTGGTCTGGTCATTTGGGCCAAAGCCAATCAAAAGCTTAGTTGCCTTTCTTACCAAACACTGGTACTTGTATGCCTTTCATAGGTGAAACCATCACATAAAAAAGGTAGTGTTTAGTGTATGTGCCAAATTCAGATCATGATGTCACTGCTGTTATTTTAGCCTTTGGTGTCATAACACAGAAGGGGATAATTAAGAGGGGATTAGGGAAATGAGTACTGTTAATAAATATTCTTCCTGTGTATGTCTACAAAGGCTTCTATCACGCCTGATAGTTAAGAATGGGAGATGGGAATGGAATGGGTTGGCTGTTACCACAGAGAATTCTGCTTCAAAGTAAGCTACACTGTTGGAGTACGACGGTCAACCTGCAGTACTTCTTTGACAAGGCAGGAAGACTTTAGTGGCTACAGATGGTAGACCAGTGCTGTTTTGTGGATGCACTGTACTACTGGTAACAATTTCAGCTTCCTTGATTTTTCTTTTTGTTGTTACCTAAAAGCTTAAAGTCACCTTTTGCTGTCCCAATATAATGAGTAGATCCATGATTAAAAATTGACTGTAGGTCTACCATCTTCAAATTAGATATCTTTTGGAAAAAGAAAAGTAATTTCTTAGAAACATCTTAAATTGACTGATTTTCTCAAAAAAAAAAATCCAAGCAGTTAAGCTTTCTCGATGGTAACAAAGTACTTTCTAAAAGGCAAGTGATATGACACCATGTATGAATGTAATTCTCTTAGTAATTTACCTCTTGACTATTTGGTGTCTTAACACTTTGGTTTATATCTCAGGGGTTGTCTGCAAACCAAAACTGACATATTCTGTGGTCAGCTTTTTTTTTTTTTTTTTTTAACAGAATACTTTGCTTTTGTTCTGTCTCTTCTTTCTTCTTTCGCCTTATATGGGTTAATAACTAGTCTCCATGAACTTCCCTTTGAAAGAGCCTGAAAAGTTAGCTGAGTCTGAAAGTGCTCTTTGAAGTAGCAGTGAATTGGGAGTATATGCTCTGTTATATAGAAATAAATTGTCCTTGCTATTTTCTTACATTTAGCTTTGCTAAATTGTATATAATTTGAGCTAAGACCATAGGAAATCCCCTTTCTGCATGATAAAATGACCCAATAAATATTCCACTTTGCTTAATAATGTACATATATATGGTGCATTATTTTTTCTATTTGTAGATGAATTTAGTGACAGATAATTGTCTGTTCCCTGCTGAAACGGATGAAATCTGGGTTTTTTTTTGGTGAAGATTTTTGTGGTCTTTGGGAGAAGGTACATCAAGACTCGTGCAGCTGGATGAGTGGCTCAGTGGCTTCACTTGAACACCAGCGTCTGACTGGCAATGATGAGCGGGCTAGACCTTCTCCAGAGGAGTCTGAGGGGATCAGGCAGCGAAATGTGCTGTAACCAAGTAGCATGCAAAGCGGTTGATTGTAAACTGTTTCACTGGGAACTTATTTTAGCTATATTTTACTTCCGACAGATTATGATGAAATAATCCACCTGGGCATCAGTTAGTAGGTGCCACAGGGTTTCTTACTCTTTACATGAGCATTTTGTGCAGTCTTTGTTATAAATTTTCAGAAGACTATACTCTTTACTTTGAAGGACTATTTTTTAATTATACCTCATTTAGCTAACTAGTATTCTAATACCTGGTAGAAAACAGTGAGCCAGCCTTTACGCATCCAACAGAATTTTCGATGATGTGTTTTGTTTTGAACTGAAGGCATCTTTGGGAAAGGTGGGTGGTATTTTAGATTAGAATAGAACATACATGTCATATTCAATATAGAAAAAAATAAAAAAGTATTATCTCCCTGTCAACATTAATATAATTAGCTGTGCAATATAGTTGAGATTCCACTTTACAGGTTCTGAATGCCAAGATTCTATTTTAAGGCCTAGAACGGTTTTCCTGTGATCTATAAGTGATACATGTAAGCATTCTTTTCAAGTTCATGATTTAGATTCTTTTATAAACTTAGTTTCTTAATCTTTAAAGATGAGCTTCTAAGCTTAAAATTGTAGAACCCACATTTCATTATGTTGCTTTCCTGATCTCAGATTTTAAGCACTCATTTTTGCAATCAGGTTTTTTAGATTTTTTTTTTAACAAAAACCACATTTCTTTTTCCTTCTTGTTACATCCAAAGGGAGGAGGTGGAAAGGAATGTCTAAAAATGAAATCCCTTGAATTGGAGGGACCTAGAGGGATAGGATATGCTAATAAAAGTTAAAATTCTAGTAAAATTTTACAATAGAATCAATGTCTTTTTTTAGACTAATAAAATTAGTGTTGTACACTCTGAAAAACATCTAAATGAAATGTACAGAGATGAAAACTAGCAAGCAGTTATTTTTGAGATATTTTCAGGTTTTATTCCATTTCTTGAAATGTCTGTGCCATATGCAATTGCATTTCCTGTTGCCAAGAACTAATAGAACTTCTTATTTCATATTCTTACCTTTTTTAAAAATGTGAATTTAATTGTAGTTCATGCCTCTGGCCTTATAGTTGGGTTCTATTGTGTGTGTTTGCAGTAGACACTGCAGCTCCTTTAATGCAAAATACCCTAAACTATTTGAATAAAATTATGTCCTGATTGGGAAATATCTAGTTTTCCCATAAAATTATCCTGCTGTGTATGTATGTTAAAACATATTTTATTTTTTCTCCAATGGCTTAATGTGAAAAGTTCCTGCGGATAAAGTAGACCTGTCATGTGGTTAATCTTGTTTAAGCCAATTCATTAACTGTGTACTGATACTGATGCTGTGTTTTTAAAAAAAAATGTGGATTTTATTCCAGGTGAATTTTTTTTATAA